CAACGTTTATTTATTTTTGGGACAGAGAGAGACAGAGCATGAACGGGGGAGGGGCAGAGAGAGAAGGAGACACCGAATCAGAAACAGGCTCCAGGCTCTGAGCCATCAGCCCAGAGCCTGACGCGGGGCTCGAACTCACGGACCGCGAGATCGTGACCTGGCTGAAGTCGGACGCTTAACCGACTGCGCCACCCAGGCGCCCCTAATGTTTATTTATTTTTGAGAGAGAGAGAGACAGAGCGCAAGCAGGGGAGGGGCAGAGAGAGAGGGAGACATAGAATCCGAAGCAGGCTCCAGGCTCTGAGCTGCCAGCACAGAGCCTGACACAGGGCTTGAACCCAGGAACCGTGAGATCATGACCTGAGTTGAAGTCAGATGCTCAACCGACTGAGCTACCCAGGTACCCCAGGGAGTCATCTTATAATGGAGTGAAAGTTGTATCTTAGAAAGGTAATCTGACAGTTATGGGGATTAGTACGTAATGGGGAGGAATGAAGCCGATATACCAGTTTAGAATCTTCCAAAGTTTTCAAAGTGTGAGATAATGAGGGTCTAATCTACCATGTTGACAGGGGGAAAGGAAAAGTTGAGAAGGAATTAAAATCTGGGAAAGAAGGCAAAACAGGGCATGTTCCTGATAGATATGATGGATGAGGTAGAGACTAATACAAGATGTCTCCAAAATTTTAATTTGAGGAAACTGGAAGAAGGTCATTAACTGAAATAGAGAAGTTGGAAACGTCGCTATTGGAGGGAAGATCTTGAGCTTTGTTTTAGGCAATTTGAAGGGCAAATGATGGTGAGAAATGTTTAGTGGCATTGGTAGCTGGTAATGTCTTCTAATTAGGGAAGAAGCAAAGCTGTAAAGATTGACAAAATGGTGAAACAGCAGCATAGATACTGTATTTGGTTTAGCAGAAAAATATAGATGAAAGTTTTGTCTGAATAATTTTTGACCAGATTATAATAACAGTTTAATATCATACAATCTTGTATCTGCATAGAAGACCTGTCTCCTGAACTCCAGACTTAGCCAATTGATGTCTTTGTGACATCAATTCTTGGATACCTAATATGTGTCTATAACTTATGTCCAAAACTGAACTCTTGGTCTCCTCCAAATTTGCTTTTCCCCATCTCACTTACTGGCAATTCCATCGTTTGATCAGGCCAAAAACATTGGAGTCAGCCTTGATTCCTCTCTGTCTCAAACTTCACATTCAACATACAACTCCTATGGCACTATTAGTTGCATGTTCAAGATATATCCAGATTCTTATTTACCATCACTGCGACTGTCCAAACTCCCATTATCTCTTGTCTGGATTACTGCAATAGCATTCAAACTGATCCCCCATAGGCCATCCTTATAACAGCCATATGTACTTTAACAACATGTGCCAGATCATGTCACTCGTCTCAGCATTCTCCAATGGCTCTCTGTCTCACTAAGAGTAAAAGCCAAAGTCCTAATGACCTTCAGAACTCTATAGGATCTGGCCTCCTGTTACTTCTCTGACATCATCTCCTACTGTTCTCTTGGATCACTCTACTCTAGCCACCCTTATTTCCTGCTTTTTCTTTAATATGACAGCCATGTTCTAGCTTCAGGGCCTTTAGACTTACTATACCCTCACTTATCCCCATGGCTCATTCTCTCATCTCTTTCAAATCTTTGCCCAAATACCTTCTCAGGGAATGGATGAATGAATGATGTGAATAGGTGCCATCAGGAGGCATCAGAGCACTAGTGCCACATGCCCTTCTAACAGAAGTCAACACATAATTACCTTTCAACATTTATTGAACACCTATTACATATAAAACAGATGTGTATGATTGGCCGGTGTTAGTGAAGGGAAACGTTGAACTAATCTTGTTGCTTTAGAAGGTTCTTGAACATATTTAGCACATACTGGAGCAAACAGCTGACTTCTGTAGTCACTGAGAGAGCAGTATCTATTAACAAGCAAATATCTTGTCAGATAACCTAGGGCTTCCACCTTCTAGGCAATCAGGATCTACAAACATACTGCTTCAATCCAGGCAGTAATGAAATCACTGCACGATTATAACACCTGGTTCTAGTCCCAGGTTGACTCTTAGCTTTGATGGGTGACTAAATTACTTCTCTTATTGGCTCAGTTCTTTTATTCTTATGATAAAATATCTAATCTCATCCATTGCCCAATTCAGGTTAAGGCAACAGGTTAGTATACACTCAGGTGTTACAACTGGCACATAGATGTATGCATTGTGGAGTTTGAGAATACAAAGTCTTTTTTAAATGTAAGAATTTCGAAATTAGAGCTATTTAAAACTAGTCTTCAGGTTGTGGTAGACTTTAAAACTTTAATCTTTCCACTTTTAATCCTATTTTCACTAGCACCACTTCTGTGGTTGAACTCATAGCTTATTTTAGTTCACGCCTGCTAGTATTTGAGTCCACCCTAGCTCAAAACAAAGGAGAAACATGATCAGCCTGAGTTGTCAACCTGAGACATTAACATGTGTAGCTCACCTCAGAAATGCCTTTGAGGGTAAGAGAGGCAGTCACAGATATTGACTCACATATATTAACAACCCTTCCAAAACTTCCAGGTAAGCCGAGGGAGAATCAGTAACTTGTTCAAGGTCATTCAAGCTAGAAAGTGTATACTGGCTTTTGTTCCCAACCCAGGTTCCAAAGCCGAGGTTCCTTTCAGGACATCATTGCTAAGAGGGAGATCCAAAGAGGAGTGGAAGGAGAATAAGCTATGGTTGGATACTTGTAAATGTGGTGGAGGGAACAAAGAGATCATAAAATCTATTTGGGGCGGCGTGTGAGGTGGGCCTTGGAGGATAAACCGGAGATTGGGCAGGCCGGTGTGGGGAAGAGCGAGGCGCTTTCAGCTAACGAAGTAATGAGAGCTGCTGGCCGATCTCCCAGTTCTTCGACTGGAGGAGTCGTTCTAGGTTGAAAAAATAACGTCCGGTGGTTCTTTTCTTCTCCCCCTACCCAGGTCTTTTCCTTTGGGGCTTTTCAACGGTCACCGACTTCACCGTTAGGCATATATTATTTTTATAACTTGAAAAATCTCCATGTTTTAAAAAAGCGACCACTGAGTCCCTTGCACAGTGGGTGGAGATCCCGCCAGACCCAGGCACACCCCCTCTCTCCCAGCTCCTTAGCCCGGCTGCCACCAGGGGAGCGTTTGTCCCCGGGGAAGGGCGCTCACCCCTGCGGTGGTTTTTGTCTCTGGGAGCCGGGGTCCGAGCAAGGGTTCTGGCAAGGGCGGTCCGGGCCTTGGCTCGCCAATCTGGCGGGGGCGGGGCGGCACGTGGGGCGGTGCCGCGGGCGCACCTGCCCGGCGCGGCTGGGCTCCCGGCGGCTGCGCGGACCGACGTCTTCCCTTCTCTATTTCCCCCTGCCTCCCGCCTCCCGCCTCCCGCCTCGCCGTGTGTTTACGTGGAGACGAAGATGGCGGCGACGGTGACGGCGTTGCCCGTGCGGCTGAGCACGGCCAGCCAGTGAACTCGTAGACTGGTTCCACTTTGGGCGGAGGGAGCGCCAGGCCCGGCCCTACTCCCTGGGACCGCGGAGGTTGCGGTCCCACCTCTGTCGGAATCGACCTTTCCTTTTTACCCCCGACCTTCCCTGTGTTCCCCCAGCCTTTTCTGCAGAGGCCATGGAGGACGAAGAGAGACAGAAGAAACTGGAAGCCGGCAAAGCTAAGGTAAGAGAGCCGGAGGCTGCTGGGCCCGTGGTGGGAGGCGGTGGCTGGAAAGGGGTGGGAGAGGGCCTGGGAAGCGGAGATCGCAGTCCCGGTTCGCTGCCCGGGAGGGAGGTGCCGCAGGATCTGAATTTTCCCCTTGCCTTCTTCTTTCCCTTTTCCAATTAAAAAAGCCTGGTATTACTACCTAGCAGAGGATACTTCCGTGATGATTGGGTAGTGTGTCTTCTTTCTTGTGAATGCCCAAATTAAGTCCCCTCCTTTACTGTATTGCTATAAGCTGGTATTTATTGCTTCTAAATCTCCAGCCTTTCAGTTTTAGGGAGTTCCCTGGGTAGTGCAGGCATTGTGCTTTTCAGGGTGGGGATTTAGAGCTTTTCTTTATTTGGTGGGGGATTTGTACGCTGATCATCAGCTTAGCTTTCTTTGGTGGCACGCTGGCACTCTTGGATATGTGATTGGCCTGTGACAGCTGCGTTAGCAGTGGCTTGAGTGTGCCACAAGTGCCAGCTGTGAAGTTCGCGTTAGGGGTGTTTTTAGAAGCGTAGCTTTGTATACTTGTGTTTGGAGGTCTTTGTCACGGCATGCGCTTTTGTATTGTGTGGAATGTTAATGCAGTCTGTGAATGGAACTGCGGGAGACGAAAGGTTCCATATTATAAGCAACACCTATAGAATTCCTTCTTTAAATAATTGAATTGTTATCTATGTCTCTATGAGTCCCTATTTTATGTCTGTGTGAAAGAAAAAAACGTAAAACAATACAAGACTATGCACAGGTACTATTTACTGGGCTTCATGAAAAATTTAATATAGTCAAGATATAAATAAAATAGCATATTTCTTTTAAAAATTAAATATTCGAGTATATCTTCTAGCTGGCTTCAAAGGCCCCCTTCCTCCTTATGACGACGTTACCTTTTATAGTTTATATTCTGTATATATTAGAAATAATTGTTAGCAATCATACTTGGACCACAATTAAATTATAATATTAACTGTTTTTTCTGTCTTCCTCTCCTTTCCAACCTAAAAATAAAAGAAAGGGGATCCATGATTTCAGTAATCATTGAAGGGTCATACCATGGAGAGATGCCAAGTAGATGCTCAACACAAGTTTTTTAAATGAATATGCATATAAACCAGCTTCATACTTCTGAAATACATTTGGCTTTCCCATAAGTTTCTTCTAAGATCAAAGCTTAAGTGCTTTTATGTTACCAGGTAAATTATTACTTTAAAGTCTGTAAATGGAGGGAAGGGGGAATCATGACATCTTCAGAAGCCCAAAGTTGCTTACATTTCTGCAACCTGAGGGTCTGAGCAAGCTCTGAATCCAAGAAGGTGGAGGTAAAATGTGTTTCTCCTTTGAAAGCATAGATATTCTAATTAGACATTTTTGTTACTTCAGAATTTGGATTCCCTGCCCCCAGAAGCATCTTTCCTAAAGGTATATATAAAGCAGTCTTACAAAACATTGTTTACTTTGGGCCATGCATATAATAATGGATTTATTTAAATTGATGTGGCCCCACCCCCAAAAATTCTGGTTTATTTGTATGTGTGTTTTGTCCTTTAAAACTCTGCGTATAGGTTAAAAATCTTTTTCTTTTAATAATCACTTTTATTGTAGAAGATTATCACCTCTAGAGTTGAGCCCAATTTTTCTAGTCAGAAATCTGTCAGATTTATAAGGCAAGATATGTTTGTTGGAACGTTAGCTGTATAATGTAGAAACACTGGAAACAACATTCATAGAGAATATTAGAATAAATTGTTTTTTCAGCCATATCATGTAAGTTCGGTGGAATATTATACAGCCATTAAGATTATGAAGACTGATAGAATATGGAAAATAGATTGAAAACAGCATCGTCAAAACTAGTGTATATACATTATTTGTAGAAACTTGTGTGCTTTTAGATTAGGACTTAAAAACTTTGTATTGTAAAGTCATTTAGCAAACCTACATTGAACTCCTGTTTTATACCAAGAGTTGGAAATTTAGAGGTGGTGACAGTCTCTGTTCTCAGGTTGCTCACAGTTTAGTGGGAGAGACAGACATTGAGTAAGAACAATGAAAGAGAAGAACAGTAGGATTTTGGATGAATTTTTTCATTTGTAAAAGTGCGATAAATGTTGCTACCTTGTTTAAGACTACTTTACAAAAGAAGGTTCTTGATATTAATGCAGCCAGGCATGGTGCCTACTACATAGTAGGTTCTCAATAAATATTTGCCTAATGAATGAATGAGCAGAATAACCATGAGTCGTTCATAGTAGTACTACTTTACTAGCAAGTTATAATTTAGTAACAGTAATCCAGAATTCCCTTAATTGGAAATTGTTAAAGCTGGCCTCAGAAATCACTTAAAATGATCATTCCCAAAACTTATTTAGAAACTTGGTTTTCTAAATGGCTTGTTTATTCATTGGACTTAAATATTGTATTTGATAATACAGTAGTTTTATGAATCACAACTTCTGCATTTTTTTCTTAGTGTTTGGTAAGTTAGTCATTGAAAAATTTCCTTTTTGTGTCTAGACTTTATAAATGATTATTTTTATGACTTGAGTGCAGTATAGTATGCTTTATAAAATATTTTATAATAACCAAAATCTGCAATGGTAGAATAAATTCTGATATATGTAGCCATTAAAATAATACTAGGAAGACTTTGAGTTGGGAAAATGTCCACAAATAATGCCAGGTTAATAAAAATGTTACCATAAAAGATGTATGTACATATGTATATGTGAAGACACTTGAAAAAAATGCACTGAGATATAAATGATGGTTCTCTCTTGTGTGGTGGGTTATTGGCAATTTTGTTTTCTTTACACTTAGTATTTTCCAAATTGTCCACAATATATTTCTTTTAGGATTAGTAAAACATGTTTAAATGCCATTTTTAAATACAGTAAAAGCTTATCAAATACAATATAAGGAAGAACTTGTTATATTGTAGTATGGTTATTACAGAGAATAAAAAAATGAGGCACAGAATAAACTAGGTTTCCAAAGGACCCTCAGTTTGGTGTAGTCCTGCAACCTTAGTTCTTATTGTTGCTTGTATTACATATTTGGGAGCCTATAGTAGACTTGCACAGACTCCCTTTCTGTTTTGTAGTTCTTTTTTCTTTGTTGTGTATTCTCATTGCCGTGGTCACAGTCATCTTGCCTTGCTCCATCTGATCTACTTCTTCCCCTAATTTGCTATTTTAGATTTGCTGTGACTAGACAACCCAGTAAGTGAGTGTGATAGAATGGTTTATAAAAATCAAAATCAATGAAGCCCAGTTAGTGGGCTTTATGACAGTTCAGTTTTTCTACTACCTGTTGGTTTTTTTGGTTGCTCTTGGGTCCTCAGCTACTTCCTTGGTATTAATGTAGCAAGAAGCCGGACCCATGGAGATGTGAGACATTACTGCATTATTAAGTAAATATTTTCACAGCTGGACTACCCTATTTACCGGCTGCTAACAGGGATGGCACTACATAGGCTGTCCTTGTGTTAAACTACTTTAAGTGACTTCATTTTTTTCCAAGTTAAATTATTTACACTGTTATATAAAGAAAGTATTGTAATGTTAGTGAACAAAATTAGAGGACAGTTGTGTATTTAATATTATTAATGTTATTACTCCTGTAAATTCACATTGGGTATACTTGACATTCTATCATGTAGCAGAATACAGTAAAACCAAAGTTTTGCTATTCAGCATTGTATGTAATTGGCATTATTTGGTGAATAATTATTATTGCTATTATTTTTTAATGTTTATTTTTGAGAGAGAGAGAGACAGTGCAAGCGGGAGAGGGGCAGTGCAAGCGGGAGAGGGAGACACAGAATCTGAAGCAGGCTCCAGGCTCTGAGCTGTCAGCAAGGAGCCTGACGCAGGGCTTGAACTCACGAACCATGAGATCATGACCTGAGTCAAAGTCTGACCCTTAATCGACTAAGCTACCCAGGCACCCTCATTTGGTGAATAATTATTAAAACTTTTGCCTCTTGCACTCAGTAAGTAGTAATTATATGATTTTTGTTTAATGAGCATTTTGAAGAGTAGTGCCAATTGTATGCAAAAAAGGACAGTGCTCTGTGCAAGCTGTATATTAGGTTATTGACAGCGAGACTTTTCAGTTACTGCTTCCACTCTGATAGACAAAGTTACTTATGGTGTAAAATTGTTCTCTGCATATTTCAGATACACTGCTCCACTACTAAGAAAGTTGCTCTTCATCCTTGTTTCTTTAAAATTTTCTTTCTTTCTTTCTTTCTTTCTTTCTTTCTTTCTTTCTTTCTTTCTTTCTTTCTTTCTTTCTTTCTTTCTTTCTTTCTTTCTTTCCAATCATCATTTGCTGTAACAGTTCATTGTGACTTAAAAACTAATTCATGGGGCGCCTGGGTGGCTCAGACGGTTGAGCGTCCGACTTCGGCTTAGGTCACGATCTCATGGTCCGTGAGTTCGAGCCCCGCGTCGGGCTCTGGGCTGATGGCTCAGAGCCTGGAGCCTGCTTCCGATTCTGTGTCTCCCTCTCTCTCTGACCCTCCCCCCTTCATGCTCTGTCTCTGTCTCAAAAATAAATAAACGTTAAAAAAAAAAAATTTTTTTAAAAAAAACTAATTCATGACCTTCAGGCTTTGTTGAAAAACAAAACATCATTTTTAGGTTACGAGCCTTAAGAGGGATAATACGGAGAAAAGAATGAGTAGAATAAGCTTCTTAAAACGTATATTGAAGAAAGGTTTCTAAGGCAAATCCAAGAAATGTCAGGAATCAGATCAGATGAAAAATCCAACGAAGAGAGATTTAACAAGCAGGTCCCTCGTGTCAGTGAAACTGAAAGCTGAATGAGAACATGGAAGAGAGGAAGTGAAAAAGATAGGATATATCCAAGTGATTAGAATATCACTTGCCCAATAGACAAGATTGGACAGAAATTATTTTTACTAAACAAAAACTTTTAATACATAAAGGTTGTAGGAAGAGCTAAACGAT